GGTTATTCAGAAGAAGTTGTTGAAAGGTTTTAAACATATTTGACCCCTGTGACCTTGAATATAAGTCAAGGTCATTTATTTGAACAAACTTGGTAGCCCTTCATCCCAGCATGCTTCTGGCTAAATATCATCACCCTAGGCCTATTGGTTATTCAGAAGGAGTTGTTGAAAGGTTTTAAACATATTTGACCCCTGTGACCTTGAATATAAGTCAAGGTCATTTATTTGAACAAACTTGGTAGCTCTTCATCCCAGCATGCTTCTGGCCAAATATCATCACCCTAGGCCTTATGGTTACTGAGAAGAAGTTGTTTAAAGTAAAATGTTGACGTTGGACGGACAGACGACGGACGACGGACGGACGACGGACGCCGCACCATGCCATAAGCTCACTTGGCCCTTCGGGCCAGGTGAGCTAATAATAATAAAGCGAAGAGTCCCTTCTAATTGTGTAGAATATTTACCTCCAACATAAACTGACGACAGGCACCACACGGAGCAATGAAGGAGGACTTGAGGTCACTATAACATCAAGAATTTAACATGTTGTACATGTATATATAAAGGATGAGTTTACAACTGCATGAACTTGTATCAATAACAAAAGGCTAAGAGTGCCTGTATTGCTTAGGCCAAAAATAAATATGTGTGTTTCAGGTATCCCAACCTACCCTACATTTTACTGCCGACCCTACATATTTTATCACCTACTTGTATCTAAGATAAATTTAGTAGACAGGCAAAGTTCACAGCAACTCATTATAATGTACTTTCTTCCTGTTCTGAGAGTTTAACCTTATTCTTGACAAAAAAATGTAAGGAAATGCACTGTTAAATTCAAAATAAAACATGGTATTACTTCACAAAAATACTTTTGTTTGGCCTTACCTGGTTATATTCAAGCAACCTTAACAAAATGTTATCATCAAAAATAATATTGCAAACACATGAATGTAGTTCCATTGCAATGCCCATCTCTTAGAACCCACAGGGAACCCCATCCTTCATATATTAAGTGATTTCTTGGTCTTGCTCCAGAGTAAATTTGGCTAAAGTATATGATAACTATATACTCAGGAGGAGTAAGCTATTAAAGACTTGTAAACCTTAATTATACCCTTTTGGACCCAGACTGCTGGGGAGTTACACTCTGCTCATGGACAATAAGGGATATCTTACCTTGTTCTTAAAAGCAGAATCTCTTTGTATACAATATTCATATATACACTTTTATGTTAATTCAAACTTTCTGTATAACTAATAGTAACCTATAAAATATATCACTGATCTTTTTCTGACTCGCATGTATAGATACATTATCGATTTTTCATTTTACAAATTTTCATTTTATGACCAACTGGCATATTACCAGGCCGGTCTTTGCTTTAAATCATGAGTGACAACCTATGTAGGTACAGCATTGACCTTAAGTTACCTTGAAATGGCCATGGCCTTGAATGACCTATGACCCATGGACACAGCCTTGACCAGTGCTGTCCTCTCTGCACATATGGCTAACCCATAGGAGGCGTTTTCTACATTACAACCTGTAAAGCAGATTTATAAATTTGATTTATCAGTAAGTCACCTGTCTGGACAAAACTAGTACTATCAACGTTACCTGTGTAAACCAGGCCTTCAATTAGCAAAGAGTGGTCTGAAAACATTTCTAGTCCAAATAGTTAATAGACATGTTGGTTCTTAATTCTGAGTCTCATTATGCAAAATGATATTTCCCTAGTGCCATTTTCAAGTTAGAACATTTCACCTTTGAAGACAGGTGGTAATTTAATACAAATTCACAAAAATTAGATGTATTTAAATAGAATTATGATGATACAGTACTAAACAATATTTTGATTTGTTTATCAGCACATTACCTGGTAATTTCGTCGACAGAATATATATAAAATTGTGATACCCCTTTCTCTTTAAAGAAAATAAATGTAATTTTAGTAAGATATTGATATTGGAAAATAATTATTAAAATGTACCGAAGTTATATAGTAACATGTAATAAACTAAACTTTGAAAAGCAGATCTAGATTTGATAGTATATATCATCAGAGAGATATAATACAGTTCACTATATGACTGAAACTAAAATAGAACTTAAATTTGGAATTAGTCATTAAATACAACATTTATAAATAACATAAAAATGAAAATAATATATACTTTGAATTTAAATTAAATACATCCTTACATTACGCTCACCACAAGTCATTTGATATTTAAGTCCATTTTGTTTATAAAACTTTCCAACCAGTCATTTGAAGTGGATACAGGGCCCCAGATCGGCGGCAAACTGTGACGCTTTTTACTTTAAAGATCCCTGTCCCAGTGCAAAGTGGTTTTTCGTAATAAACAGAAACCTCTCCTTCATTCTGTTTTGGCTAAAATTGTAGCAATGATGATTGTTCCTCACTTGCTGTGATGTTGATTACCTGTGATGGTGGATCCTAACCTACTGTGATGGTCTTTACCTGTGATTATTGTTCCTCACTAGCTGTGATGCAACTCATCTGTGGTGGTTCCTAACTTGCTTTGATAAGTCTTAACCTGTGATGATTTTTCTCACTTGCTGTAAAAGTTCTTACCTGTGATGATTGTTCCTAACTTGCTGTGATAGTCTTTACCTGTAATGATTGTTCCTAACTTGCTGTGATAGTTCTTACCTGTGATGATTGTTCCTAACTTGCTGTGAGTCTTTACCTGTGATGATTGTTCCTAACTTGCTGTGAGTCTTTACCGGTGATGATTGTTCCTAACTTGCTGTGATAGTTCTTACCTGTGATGATTGTTCCATCATCACACATGAGAGCTGCTCCCACTCTGAACTTGCTGTAAGGACAATAGGCTTGTTTCTTCATACCTGCACTCATCTGCAGCAGTGTCTTGATTTCCTCTACAATATATAGAAGACTCTTCAGATTAATGCTTGCACTCATCTGCAGCAATGTCTTGATGATATGAAATGGAATCCTTTGACATGATGATATACAAGGTTTAATAAAAAAATTGTAATTTCTTTTTTTATGTCACTCAACCTGGAACATTTCATCTATTGAAAGGGAGTGTATACACACTGCATCAGATAGGTTATAGGTAGGATGTAGAGAGAGTGCCAAAATAGTTGTAAGGCAACAACATACAACAAGGGCCTAAGCGGTTACCTGAGTTATATTATTGGTACTTGTAGCTTAATTTCATTGTTGAGATGTACAAAATGTGGAAACAACATGGAAACAAAGTGAAATACAATACTTGTCATTTCACCAAAAGATAAAAACTTTAAAAACTATTCAAATAAATGATTTTGCTATTGAGAATTACACCCTCTACCGAAAGGAGAGCAGATGACCTGGGGGATAATGAAATTTACAATTAAGGTAATTAAGGTAACTGAGTCTGATAAAGATTTTTTTAACTTTTAACCATTATCCCCAATTGGGCCCCGCCCTTCCAGCCCCTGGGGATGGGGCAGGATGTTCTTTTCTCATACCATCTAATTGTCATCTGGCATCATAGTCATTCCAACCAAGTTTGAATAATATCCTGCTAAAAATGGACAAAATATACCCAAAAGTGTTATTTCCCTATTATAAACTATAGTAAATTTTACCCCCTCCCCAAAGGAGTACCGGGAATACTGAAATTTACAATTTAAACAAAGCCCCTGATGATCTTTTTATACATGCAGAGAAATTGACTGTAGCACCTCTGAATCTGGAGAAGAAGAAGATTTTTGAAATATTGGTTAATTTTCCCTTTTGGGCCCCGCCTTGCCCCCTGGGGTATGGGCAGGAATCCCTATTTTACATTTTGATACCATCTTCCTCCAAGGATGATTCTCACCAAGTAAGAATCATTTCCTACTGAAAATTTTCTTATTGAAAATTGCAAAAAAATATGTATAGCCCTGGGGTACTGAAATTTACAATTTAAACAAAGCCCCTGATGGTCTTTCATACATGCAGAGAAATTGACTGTAGTACCTCTGAGTCCGAGTCTTTTGAAATATTGGTTAACTTTCCCTTTGGGGCCCGACCCAGGCCCCTAGGGTTTGGGTAGGTATCACAATTTTACAATTTTGTAGCCTCATCTACCAAGGATGATTTTGACCAACTTTGAAAATTTACGCACGACGGACGACGCACGATGACGGAGGGAAAGCGATCAGAATAGGTCACTTAAGCAAAGCTCAGGTGACCTAAACACAAGACAAATCAAAGAAGCAATCAAAATCAGGAAAACTCAAAAACATGAACAGAGACAAGGGGGGACACTAGTGGAGTCATCTGTATGACCCGACACTGACATAACGAAGAAGGGGCTAGATCTACACCTTACCTATAACCTATCTGTTGCAGTGTGTATACGCTCCCTATTGATAGGCAAAACGTCCTGGGTAGAGTGACATAAAAAAATATATACAATTCCATCACATCATTGTACAGGTAAAAATACAAATCCTTCACTCAGTCAAAGCTTGACAAGGGGACCAGACAGTCTTGAAACGTCTCAACATGTTTAATTGACTCGTTTCAACCTTAAACTGAGCAATTTTTACTGCCAGAGTCGAATGTCCTCCCCTTTAGCTCCAGGCTTATAACATGCTATAATGACAAGAATGCCATAATAAATCATAATAATTCCAAGTGATATCTGTTTACATAGTGATCATTATTCACATTCATTTCTCTGAAAAGGAGTATTTCATGAGTGTTATTTCTCTGTATTATCTTAATGTATGAAGAGTAGAGTTTTGATTATTATGACACATGGTCATATATCATGTGTAACATGTTAGTGACAGTGCACAACCTGAAGGTATTTTACTACTTTATTTCAAAAGTATTTAAGAGCTTTGTGGAGGTAAAACTTTGCCCATTAAATTTGCTCACTGACTCAAATAAATTGAAAATTTATGTCTTTTACTAAAAATTACACTGGCGAAAGATTTTTTTCAGTTCGTCTAACTAACAGTTTATTTAGATAAATGCTAATAGAAATTTATGTATCTTAACATGTTGTAGGTTGCTAAACTGCCATAAACTGGTCTTGTTTTTTTGCACAATTTTCTTTTCACAATATAGGTAACCATACAAAACAATTGGGCTACAGGTAAGTTACAGTGTTATATATATCTGAATATTACAATATTGTTTTCTGATAAAAGAGCTCCATGCCAAGTGTAATGTTAAGTAAGCCCAGGCTAGAATATCAGTAATCATGGTTCAGCACACCGCTTACACTCTACATCAATGCCACAACCTTATAATAGTCAACAGCCTATTCAGGTGCAGTGATCAAACACTGCAAAAACTTGCCAAAAAACTTTAAACCAAATCCAATTAAGCTGTTTGGCCCCTAAGATATGAAAATAGGGTTAACACATCGCTTACACTCAATATTAATGCATGAACCTTATAAATGTCAACAGCCTATTAAGTGTGATGATCCAACACAGCACAAAAAAACTTACTCAAAAACTTTAAACCAAATCCAATAAAGGTGTTTAATTGTTGGCCTCTAAAATTTGAAAATGGGGTTCAGCCCATTGCTTTAACACTCATCATTAATGCATTAATGCCTCTACCTTATGATAGTCAACAGCCTATTGAGTGTGGTGATCTGACATTGCACAAAAAAACTTGCTCAAAAACTTTAACCTAAAGGTTGCTCATAAACTGTAACCAAGTCCAATCAAGCTGTTTTTGGCCCCTAAAATATTGTTCAACTCTTGATCCAATCAAGTTGTTTTTGGCCCCTAAAATATTGTTCAACTCTTGATCCATATAAATGCATCAACCTTATGATACGTCTCAACAAGGTATAAGCAGCAAAATTAACAATACACTGACATCGCAACTCCGATGTTCCTATGAATGATGCCATTTTTAATGAATGGTATACATGATAACCTTTTCTGTGGGTTTTGATAGGTTTGACTCAATTAAAAGACCAGACCTTCGGTAAAATAACCTTCCAGCATAAAAACAAAATGAAAATCAAAAGTGTGGTGTACATGTACTACACAATGGCAAAATGACCTTAACTGCCAACAACCGTCAGTGCTTGGTAACCATGCATGCCACTGTGTAGGTTGATTATCAGACCCACATGTAGACTGTTGATGTTTCTTGGATAGCACTGATAAATAGCACTATGGACCTGACAGTACAATCTCCACATGTAAACCTACATACATATCAAGGTAGTATTAAAGTGTACTAATCAGGAGCTAATCACTGTGATACTACCTAGTTCTCAATTATTTACTTCAGAAATTGATAGTTAAGTTCAAATCTTCAGCAAGTCTGGCCTTTCCTTAACCAATAATATAAACATAAAAGACCAACTGCTTCAACTTTCATTCATCAAATCTGTTGGCCTTGGACCTTTGGTGTTTGGCATATAATAAAACAAGTCTACTCTGACTTCTTCATAATTTAATATGGAAGTTTAAAGTAATACAACAGGAAACGAATAATGTGTGGCAGGTTTTGATTGTACATAGGATTAAGGTCGACTTCTAGCTTCGAGCCAGAGGGAATTTCCCTTTAGCTCAGTGGTAGAGCATTCAACTAGGAACCTAGGGATCGTGGGTTCGATCCCCGGTGAAAATGCATGGCCAGACTGGAATTCAAACCCTGGACCTCTGAATTATAGAAAATTCTAAACAAAATTAACTGCATATTGACATAGGTTGGATAAAATTTCTCATATAAAATTAAAATTAACATTTCTCATATAAAAATTAAAATTAACATTTCTCATATAAAAATTAAAATTAACAAGTTGTGTGTGTGTCATGTGCAAAATACACAGTTATCATAAGATCCAAGAGGGTTGAATTTTTAACAGATCATATGACAACCAAGTTTGACAATTTAAGTTTTCAGGGCAGAACTCTCTTATTACAGTGTCAGAGTCATAAGTACTTGGTTCAATAAATTATAGATGTAAACAGTATTTAATTTAAAGTAAACATGCAAGCTTAACCTTCCTGACGGTAATCGTAATAACAGTAACATGATTTTTTCTGGTCTATTTAACACTAACGTGACCCTAAACATTTTTCTTCAATTTGGTATGTATGGATTGTATAGAGGTTCATAGAGCAAAACGATGTGTACTCACACAAGAACATTCACTGGTCGTGCTATATGAACTTCTATACAGTGCAATTAGATGTGTCCGGGTTGACTTCATTATAATGATAGTCTAGTTGGTCGTGATCTGGGTTATAGTTTACTATAATCTGGGGAATTTTTATATATTGAGGCAGATATATGATATTCTATGTATGAATGTTGCCTTATTTTATTCAATATCATGATCACAACATACCATATATGTACGCGCATTTCTATCGACAGGTATTACCTGACAGTGCTAAAAAAATAGCAAAGCATCCAGCTCAAAGTGCACATGTACTCCAATAAACATAAAATGACTTGCAAAAATGTTTTTCTAACTTTAAACCTGTGTGACAAATTGATTCTGCTAATGCATGGATTAAAAAATACTCTATCTATCCTTGACCTCATGTTTGCTCCTTTGCAGCAATTTCTTTGGGATGTGGGTACTGGAGTAGGCAAACAAAAGTCTTAATTATATGTTTACATCTGTGGCGGGTTTTGCTTGTACATAGGATCATGGTCACCTTCCAGCTTCGTGCTAGAGGGAATTTCCCTTTAGCTCTGTGGTATAGAGTGTCCAACTACTGTAACTAGGAACCTAGGGACTGCTGGTTCCAGGCCTGGGGAACGACACTACTCTCTTTCCTGTTACATATTTTTAACAATTGTCCTAAAAATTTCAAACATCAAGATAAGTGAAGTGAAAGCATATGCTGGCATCTTATTGGCTTGATTAAACACTATTGCAATGCTCCAACGA